AGTTCTAAGGCTAATACACCCTTTTGGATCCCGATACATATCTTGATACCAGAGCGCCCAACTGAGTGTGCGGTGTTTAATGTTGTGGCAGGTAATTTGTGATCACTTGCTTGTTAATGAATTTTTTTTGTTGTTGCTCTAGAAAGTAGAAACTAGTGTTTTTGAGGATTATGATGCAATTCTGTTCATGTAGACTCTCCTCGCGATTCTGTCCAATTTATCGAATGGTCCCCCATTTCTTGTCCTCGTGCGTTGCTTATCGCTAATTTTCATGGACGGATAACTATCTGGACGCAGCCTACTCGGGTAAATGCTCCTGATCACTGGGATTTACTTTTGGTTTGACCTGTTCTGTATTGTATTGCTTCGATGTCGTACTTGTGTGTGTGAAGATGTTTACCAAGCTCTCAATGAATATCGTATCTGGATTGGTCTTGCAGGGTTCGGCTAATCTAGTGCATGATGCTACCTCCTGGCAGTGTGAGCATGAATGGCGTCAGGACATTGCTGTTGTTACAAAGTGGTTGGCGGGAGCTTCTCCAGTAAGTAATTTAAATTTGTACTTATTTGAGATTTTATTGTTTGCACGACATGTTTGTGCTTTCAAAAGTCCATTAAATGATTACCGGATTATGCATGTGAAAATGGGCAATGGAATTTCTGAATCGTGCGCGAGTAATTGAACCTGAAATGTCTCTAGATTTGGAAGAAATGAGATGGAGAAACTATAACTCCCTGGAAGTTTCTACTTAATTAATAGATATTAGCTCTGATTGCAAAATTACTAGACTCCGAAAAGATCTTCCAATTGCATTTCTCAGATGTGTTTCTATAACGATCGGCAAGAACACATAGGGAATGAGTAATGGATAGATGATACAGCCATTGCAAAGTACATGTTTTAGAGGACTAATATCATGTTGTTTCTGTCCCAACCTATCAGTTTCCTGCTCTATTTTATTCCCTAGGAAATTTATTCTGTTTGTATTTTCTCGAAAATCAGTATAGATGGTTGTCCTCGAAGCCGAGCTCTGGTACAAATTCAAAGTCAATTTTTGAGGAGAAATTTCTCTCACAAAGCTCTGAAAGCTCAGGTTTTCTTCTTCTTGCCTTTTGTATCTCAGTTTTTATTGATATATTTAGAACTATGTCAGTTTATTTGACTTACCTATATACTGTATGTGACAAGATCAATTCAACATGTTATTCTTTCCATGTTATGGCATTTCTGCATTTTCCTCCACTTTCCGTGATGTTTCTGATTTTCGACCATTTGTTGCAGCTCGGTGGCCCAACTTTCTCTGTGTATGCTCTGTTTTCTCATCCGGCTCTGTTCAACTTCATTGGTCTCAGTGGCCTTCTACCCAGGGAGGCACTTCACCAAAGTGGTTTAGTACAAAGAAAGGTCTTTTAGGTGCAGGGCCTAGTGGGATTATGGCTGCCGATGCTATCATAACGGACAGTGGTGCCATGCATGTAGCAGGGGTTCCAATTGTAAATCCCTCAACAATTGTAGTATGGGAGGT